CCTCCACGACTCGTCAAGGAGGTCCCAAAAGAACCCAGAACTACATGTGGAGCTCTGCAGGCCTCATCCGCCTCAGTTAAAGTCAGAGTTCATGATTCAACAAAAGAAGGAGACGAAGAGCCAAAACAGGCGTCATGGAAGAGTTCAAAGGTCAAAACCAGCACAGAGCAAAAAGAACAGAAAGGCCCGTCTCATACTGACCAACAACTGATGATCCAAGACTTTAGGACTGAACACAAAGGTGGAAGTTTCTGGAAGGTGTGTCCTGTTAAACCTGCTGTAAGACTAGCATCACACCAAGAGTCAAACACGGTGGTAGTAGTGTGGTGGTCTGGGCTGCTTTGCTGCTTCTGGACCTGATGGAACCATGAATTCAGCTTTCTAGAAAAGCCTGAAGGAGAACGTCTGGCCACCAGTTCTGATTTTAGGCTTACCTTCTGCAGCAGGACAGTTATGTGAAGAACAGCAACAATGTTCCTCAACAGTCATGAGAAAAACTGACTGCAGTTTTCACAAACACTTTGTTGTTGTTGTTGTTGACAAGGGCGACACAAGCAGTTCTTAGATCTGAGAGGAATTACTCAGTTATTGGTTTGAGTTAGAATCAGTTAAATCCTTAGAAGCGCTGAAAGACGACTTGAGAAAAGCAAAGTGGGATAGGGTATATGTCTATGATGTAAACAAGGCGTCTGACTCCTTCATGAGGATACTGCAAAGACTTTATGATAAAAATTGCAATTTGTGCTGTTTTTTGCCAAACAAAGTTATTGATAAACCATGGATGACAAAAGGATAAAGAAACGGCTGTAGAAAGAAAATTTATTTATATAAATGTTTCATAAAATTAAGAACAAAAGAAGCTGAAGAGAAATATAACCAGTGGTGGAGAAAGTACTCAAACACTGTACTTAAGTAAAAGTACAAATAAACAGACAAAAAGGTACTGTAGTAAAAGTAGAAGTAGCACATTAACATTTTTACTTAAGTAAAAGTAAATAAGTACTTGCTTTTAAAATACTTAAAGTATTAAAAGTAAAAGTACTTGCTGAATGTATTACCTAATGTAATGGTCTACATATCTTTGTCTGTGTACCATATGTATAAATTCTGTAATACATTAATAGTGTTGTTCCATTTTACTGAACAATGCTGCAGATAATACATGTTTTTATTGTGTTTACTCTGTGACACAGTTCACACTTGGACTTGTGATTCTGTGCGTCAGAATTTCAGGGATGACCTGCAGAGTTAAATGTCATTAATCAAAATAAGAAAGATGAATGATTATACCTTTGAAAGTTTTTATTCAACACAAATCAAAACCAATGTGTCATTTTAACTGCAGTAAACACATTTAAGTAAAAGTTGTCTGCCTGAACAAAAGGAGCATTAGACACAACTAACAAAGGAACAGGCTCTGATCATTTCAACTCCAGTTTGTCATCAACTCCAGTTAAAATCCTGTCTCTTCAACCTTGTAATGGGTCAGTATTGAACAATATTTTAACTTTCTGACACCATTTTTAAAACTTGGACCCGAGTGTTGAGACATTTGGAGACATCTCTTGTCTCCTAACATCATGAACTGACACATTTTAATATTGCAGCAATAATTTCTAGTTCAAGTTCAGAAGAAGTTGGTTTTCAAAGATTTTTGAGTCCAGTCTGGCTCTTTTGGGAGAGAGAATCTGTCCTGTTGTACTGAGCATTCTTTCAATAAGGCCATGGGTGCAGCATGTCTTCTGGCTGACTCTCTTGCGGTGGAATATATTCTGGGTGTGTTAGCGGTGCTGCAGGTGCACCCAGCTCAGTGACATATATACTAGAATATACATCATTGGACCAGCTCTTCTTGAAGGTGGGCCTAACGTTACCTGCCCACTTTGCAGTGATTCAATGGACCAGTTCCCTCTCACCATTGGTTCCTTTCAAAGTAACAAACAAATCAAAAAGCTGCAACATGAATGTAACTTGTAATGCAACGCGTTATAGAAATGTAGTGTAGTAGAAAGTACAGAGACTTGATGTAAAATGTAGTGAAGTAAAAGTATAAAGTACCCACATTTAACTCTACTTAAGTAAAGTACAGATACATGAAAAATGTACTTAAGTACAGTAATGAAGTATTTGTACTTAGTTACATCCCACCACTGAATATAAGAAATATTAAAACAAGTTAGTATGGATTTTAAGAAAACATAAAAAAGACTATTGGGATTTACCTATCTAAATAAAGGTTGAATAAAAAATAAAAAAAACTTTTACAGTCAGTTTTTGAGTAAAAAAAAAAAAAAACACGAAGGCCCAGTGGGGTTAATAAACAATATGCTAAAAAATGATAAAAAACAAACATGTTTTCCAAATTATTTTGTTAAAGATAGCTCTGAAATTTCAGATAAAAAGAAAATAGTAGACAAATGCAATCTTTTTTTTTATTTTGTAAATGTCAGTCCAAGCCTTGAAGCAAACATCCCAAAAACGAAGTTTGATTATAGAATTATTAAAAATAATCTCAATAGAATATTTATTTCTAAAATAGAAAGAGAAGAAGGAATTCATACGGTTTAAGTCTTTACAAATAAGGGATCAACGGATAATTGACAGATATGGACATGAGATTAGTGAAATCAATAATTCATCTGGTAATTGACCCATTCACATATATTTGTAATTTGTCTTCTTCTACTGGGAGATTTTCTGAAAATATGAAAGTAGCCAAAATTATTCCACTTCATAAAAATAGTGGCAAACATTCTTTTTTAAATTATCGACCTACATCTTTACTTCCTCAGTTTTCAAAAATTTTAGAGAAATTATTTGCTGCCAGTTTAGATCAATTTATCAATAAACATAATATTTTATGTAGTAATCAGTATGGGTTTCGCAAAAATCATTCCTCTTCAATGACATTGATGGATATGCTTGAAGAAACATCTGCCAGTTTAGACAACAAACATTATTTTGTAAATGTATTTGTAGACTTAAAAAAAGCTTTTGATACCATTGGTCACAATATACTGCTAGATAAGTTCAGTGTGGTATTAGAGGTCTTGCGCACAAATGGGTCTCCAGTTATTTAGAAAACAGAAAACGGTTTGTAGAGATAAACAATGTCAGACCTGACTTACATTATATAAACTGTGGAGTACCCCAGGGGTCAGTTATCGGACCAAAACTTTTTATTTTATGTATCACTGATCTAGTTCATGTAGACATCTTCAAAGTATTCTCTTTGCAGATGACACTACTTTTTTCTATTCTGGTGAAAATTTGACAAATGTGTCGGAGGTAGTTAAAAATGATTTGAGTAACATAAAAACATGATTGAATGTAAATAAATTATGAACGAATGTTGAAAAAACGAACTACATGATATTTATCAATAGAGATGTGTTGATTGATGTTGATGGGGTTGAGATTAAGCGTGTGACAGAGGTCAGATTCCTGGGTGTCACTCTTGATGAAAATATAAACTGGAAACCACATACCAATCATTTAAAGATAAAAATATCAAGGATAATTGCATTATTATATAAAGTGGAAGACTCACTAAATGATGAAGCATTGTTGAATTGTATAATTCACTCATCGTTCCCTATTTAGTCTATTGTGTAGAAGTTTGGGGGAATGCCTGTAAATCATATACAAATTCTATTTTTATTCTGCAAAAAAGAGCTGTTAGAATTATAAGTGGAAAACGCTACAGAGATCCAACAAATCCATTGTTCTGTAACTGAAGGAGAAATCCCACACAAAACAGGCTCTAGAGCAATGTGGATATCCTAACTGGGCCTTCTTGAAAGCAGAGAAGAAACCCAAACAGGACTCCAGTCAGCCATCAGGTGAAAAGGAGGAACCCAGACCCAGACCAGTGGTCATTCTGTATGTTGAGGGAGTATCAGAGAAACTGAGACGTTTATTTTCTAAATATAACGTCCCAGTGGCTTTTAAACCCCAAAATACATTAAAGGCTGGTTCATCCCAAAGATCCAGTCCCCCGGCACAAACAGAGTAATGTTGTGTATGCTGTTCAGTGTCAGGAGGGCTGTGATCAGTCTTACATCGGGGAAACAAAACAGCCACTGGCCAAAAGGATGGCCCAGCACAGAAGATCAACATCATCAGGCCAGGACTCTGAGGTCTACACTCATCTCCAGGCCAGAGGTCACTCTTTCAAGGATGAAGATGTTCACATCCTGGACAGAGAGGAACGATGGTTTGAGAGAGGAGTAAAGGAGGCCATCTTTGTGAAAAGAAACCGTCCATCATTAAACAGGGGTGGAGGCCTCCGGGTTCAACTGTCCCCCTCTTACAATGCTGTGATTGCTAGTATCACTCAGCCCTCTGTGAACAGTAAACAGCCATCAGGTGCTAATGATCCATTGTTAGGCTGATGGTCCTTCTTGAGCATGTGACCAGTTGGTTTTGGTTGTCAGCAGCAAACTGGTTGATCCACTCTGAGAAGGTGCTATTTAAGAGACTGAGCTGAATACAGCACCTCAGACTGAGGAAGTCTCTCGGATGAGAGACGAAACGTTTCTACATTTTTTTGCTTTGTTTCGTTTTTTGTTTTTTTGAAAGTCCAGAGGACCAGATTGAACTTTTTTGGATTTTTTCTACCTGGATTATTGAGCATGCATCAGGATGTGTGTGATTAAAAACCCCAGAAGAAATGTGTAAGAGGGTGAATATGTTTTCCCAGCACTGAATTTTTCAACTGGTTTTCCACCAGACTATAGTTGAAGTAAAGGCAGAATGGCTGCATCCTTCACAGGAAGGTCCTCCTGCTCCACAGGAGACATGTTTGGTGTCGCTGTTGGAGAGGCAGACTGTAAAGTCTGTTCATGTCTGGGTGATAAAAGGTGCAGAGGAAAGCTTTAGGCTTAGATTTATACATTAAAGTCATATTCTTAGATGCATTTATGCTTTTGCTGATCTTTCCACAGACTGGAGAGCTTGATGGTGACAACAAACTAAACAAAACAAAGCCCAGGACCGAGATGGAATTACGATTGGGATTTAGGATCACCCTGGTTTGGCTCATCCTGGTTTTGACTCTTTCGAGTCAGAGAGTGGAAGCACAGAGGGCAGGTAAGCAAGACACATTTGAATAAAACACCTGGTGCAGAGTCTCTGCCTGTTCATAATCGTTCCTGTATGTGTCTACTGCAGGCTGTAAAAATGTCCACTATGACTTGGCATTCATCCTGGACACCTCATCCAGTGTGGGGAAGGAGAACTTTGAGAAGATCAGGAAGTGGGTAGTCAACCTGGTGGACTCTTTCGACGTAGCACCTGACAAGACAAGAGTGGCCGTGGTTCGCTTCAGTGACAGGCCCACCACCGAGTTTACCCTGGGGCAACACAAAACCCTGGAACATGTGAAGCAAGCAGCCCGTAACATAGGTTACCTGGGAGGAAATACAATGACCGGAGATGCTATCAGCTACACCACCTCCAACATCTTCACTGAGCGGAACGGAGCGAGGCCGAGTGCCCGAGGCATTCAAAGGGTGGCCATCCTTCTGACAGATGGTGGGAGCCAGGATCATGTCTTGGAACCCTCGAAGGCAGCTGTCAAAGCTGGCATCAGGATGTTCGCCGTGGGCATCGGCGAGGCTTTGAGGGTAGAACTGGAGGAGATCGCAGCTGAGCCAAAGAAAGCCCACGTCTTTCATGTCACTGACTTTAATGCCATTGATAAGATCCGGGGCCGACTGAGGAGAAGGCTGTGTGAAAGTAAGTCATCAGCAGTGGTGGAGAAAGTTCTCAAACACTGTACTTAAGGAAAAGTACAAATTAACAGACAAAAATGTACTCTAGTAAAAGTAGAAGTACCACATTAATGTCTTTACTTAAGTAAAAGTAAAAAGTACTTGCTTTTAAAAATACTTAAAGTATTAAAAGTAAAAGTACTTGCTGAATGTATTACCTAATGCAATGGTCTACAATACCATTAAGTATTCCTACCATATGTGTATTTTCTGTAATACATTAATAGTGTTCCATTTTACAAGTTCCTGGACACACAAGCAACAAACATGCACAGCATCATGTTATTTAACGTCCAAGCAATCACGCATGACCAAGACGACACTGTTGACAACAAGCATGTTGCCAGTTCATGCTAGATTATAATAATTTAATTGTGTTTACTTGTTAGCGGTAGAGTTGAACAAGAAGCTAGTTAAGGTTACATAAGACTTCACTAACCTAAATTAATTTCACATGCACAAGTCAAGTAGCATTTAGCAACTTCCCTTACCTCGATGTGTTTTTTCAGATTTGACAGCGAATTTTTGAAAGACAGGAGTTCATGGTTTCAGGGGAGGCAAAGTTGACACCGGAATCTCCACGAGTTGTTTTTTGAACCAGTGAACTCAAATACATTTTTTAAATAAGGCCATGGGTGGCACGCATCTTCCTGCTGACTCTCCGAGGTGGAATCCATTAGGTGTGTTAGAGCAGGTGCAGCGGGAGCACACAGGTCGTATACATCACTGACCCAGCTCTTTCTGAAGCCGGGTCTAACGTTACCTGCTACTTTGGTTGGTTCAATGGACCAGTTCCCCTCTCGCCATTGGTTACTTTCAAACTAACGAACAAATAAAAAAAACGCAGTGTGACGTGAATGTAACTTGTAACGCAACGTATTATAGAAATGTAGTGTAGTACAAAGTACAGATACTTAATGGAAAATGTAGTGAAGTAAAAGTCGAAAGTACCCATGTTTAATTCTAATTAAGTAATGTACAAATCCATGAAAAATGTATCTAAGTACAGTAAGGAAGTACTTGTACTTGGCTACATCCCACCAGTGGTCGTCAGGCTGGTTTGAGACACAGCAGTCACACAACGAGGTGCCGGCCTCACCCCAAACACTGCAGCATTCAAATGAGACGCTTATTTTAACCTTTAACCACCATCCAGAGGAACCACAAAACCCCACCCCAACCACAAAGAGCAGTCCTGAAACCTTTTGATTTAATACAAAGCTTCAGAGTGGGGGCTGTTAAAGAAATTGGCTCTTACATAATGGTTTCCTCAGACTTTTCTGTGGTGGAAAAATTATTCTTTGATACAGCTGCTTTGGAGCGGAGGTGTTTAACTCTGGAAACCTCAGTGTTTCTTTTCCACTACTGTGTTTAAAAATCCTTTATTTACACAAAGTAGCTCACATAAATGAACCAAATTATTTTTAATGGACAACTTTGATGTATTTTTCCTGTCGAGGCTGGAGTTTATAAATCGGATTTGTGAAGTGGGTGCTGAGTTTCAGACGACGAAAGTGGAAATGCTTCATTTTAAAGTGAGGTTCTGTGAAAATATGAACAAATAAAGGGATAGTCTGAACATTATTGAAGTGATGTCACATAGTTATTGTTACTCATTGACCTTTTGTGATACAGTCTGTCAGTAAGGCACAATCATTTATGCAATATTTTGTGGTCATTTGCAATAATTAGCTGTAATCCACTTTTTGTAGGAATTTTAAAATATGTTTGCGAAAGTAACACAGAGCTGACAATGACGTAATGTTTTACCAGTAAGTGTTTGCTTGAACAACTGTAACATTTAGAAAAATGGATTGTTTTAGAGCAGCAGCGGCCATATAACCCGAGGACTCTCCTCTAAAGCAGATTTTTAAAGCCCACAGTTTGGTTTATGTTAACAGTAAAACATTCACACTGCCACCAGTTTCTCTGTTATTTCAGCTGAAATATAACATTTGTGCAGCAAGTGCCCCAGGACACACAGGAAATGCTACATCTGGCTGCTGCTGTTGCAGTCTGACAGTTCCACTGAAATCCAAGTAAAACATGAACTCTGTGAATGGTTTCAATCTAAAAGGTCCATTAAAGGTTTGCATATATATTTTATTGGTTAGAGTAGCGTTAGATGGCAGTTATGCACTTTAGTCTTGGCCCCGTAATGACTAGCTGTGACTTTGTCAGTTTGATGAGAAAATAAACGCACGGCGCTTCTACAACAGGTAAGATAATTGTTCTGAACCTTTTCACAGAACTCCACTTCAACATGGCTGAACCATGAATTAAAAGAAGTGATGAGTTGGGCAGTAAAACCTAAATATTGATCTTTTCAGGGACTATCATCACTCACCTTTTAAAGATTATTGTAAAGCCTGTGACCTCTGACCTCAGAGGCTACAGATTGTTTACCTGGCCTTCAGAATTGCAGGTTGTATATTTTGCTTTACAAAAGCTCTGAAATAATCATAGACTAAATTTACTAAGGGATGGAAGTGCTGTAGTTTTCCTCCTACAATCTGGACACGACTGAAGCTCCGGCAGCTCCGGTGGTCAGCAGGACGGGCTCGCCGAGCGATGCCAGCTATTTTCACTCCAAAAATTATAGCTCTAATGTTTCATGTGGACATAGCACGGAAACACAGACGTTTTACCTTTAAATCAATAAGTGTCAAAATGAAAACTGACTGCTAGCACAAACTTGTAGCATGTTATCTGAGAAGAAAGAAACCTCAGATTTGAGGGAAAGATAAATTCACTGTATCTGAAGTTGATCAATGTGTGGCGGCTAAAAGAGCTGATGCTGGTTGTAGGTGTGTAATTGTGAAGCAGAGGCAGCTTTTACATCGCTTCCAATTTAACTCACAGTCAGGTCCCTAAATTATAACGTTCAAACCACAAGTGCAGGGAGTTGCTCAGTTCTTCAGCATGTTAAGATTCAGGGCAGTGCAACAAAACCGTCTTTAAATAAGAGTGACGCACTTCAATTCATTCACTGGATGATCATTTTCGGTTGACTTGGTGGCTTTATAAACAATGTAAACCAAGTAAACCAAGCTTAGCAGGCCTTCTATAATCATTAGAAGAGGGTAAACACACAGTGGGATGAACTGAAACGACCAGCTGTGGACTCACTGAAAAGTCTTAAAATGCTGACAGAAAAATTAGCAGATGGGATTTTTTCATGAGACATAGTCACAAAGAAGAAAACCAAGAGAAGATTTGTCTCACATCAGCACCGGAGTGGTTCAAAGAACTCCCTGGCATGATTTACTGTATATAGCTGTGATTTTAGAAAACTGCACATTGTCATAGCAGTTTGAACTGACACTTGACCCAGAGGAGAAGCCACGAGGGGTATTTTTAGCCACAGGCAATAATTATGACCAACGGTCAGGATGATACAGACAGGATGTTGGGTTAATATCAGGTTTGATGAGGGTTTTTTTTAAAGATTAGTTTGAAATAGGGATGGGATTTGTCATCCCCTGTTGCTGAGCAAAGATTATTAGAAATACCTTCCAGCTGTCTTTGTCACGATAGAAACAAGCAACCAGCTCTATGAAGCCCAAAACAAGCCCAACTGGCAACCCACCACAGTGTGTAAAACAGAGGCCGTTTTTAAACTATAGAAACAAACATTTATTGTGGCATTGCACATAAATAACAGCAACATTATGCTAAACAACATACTTTTAAGCTCTGATTTAAAAAATACAATTTGCATATGTGACAAACATGCAAATCATATTTTTTTCCACGCATTTTCAAAAACAAAACATCCTAACATCTGCATGTGAGTGGAGCCCCCTAGTGGTCGGCCACAGTATGAGTGTTTGAGTGTGCGCATGTCGCCTCGCCAACTTGGGCGGGAGAGATAAACAGGAAACGGCGGCGTGGAAGAGACAAACGACCTAACACTTGTCTTTTGCTTTATTGTGCGGAGCTGGAAGATAATCAACTAGTTTCACTCGGAAAGAAAGTCAAGCCCAAATAAGAAACTTCATGTTCAAAAACAAGCCCCCCCCCCCCAAAAAAAAAAAAAACGCAAGCCACGACTCATAAGAATTGCAAGCGACTTTAGGAAAAAACCAAGCCCAAAGCCTCTTGTAATAAGCAGACTTGGCAACACTGGTTGTGAGCATTAGACGCTAACTACACTATATTAGAAAATAACTTCAAAAGTAAACGAGGTATGGACTTCCATGTTGGTGTGTGCCAACAGCTAGCAATAAGAAAGACTCTTTCTGAAAATGGGCTTGCCATGTCAAAATGTAAGATGGCTGCCACCATAAACTGGTTACCTCTATCATTTCAGGAAACTGTGCTTTTCAGTTTGTATATTGCTTAAAAGTATAGTTTCCACAAATGAGTGGGGCGGCCACAGACTATTCTATGGGGGCCAAAGCCACAACTGGCTGCCACTTGGCTCCTTCATCTGACCCCCCCCCCCCCCCCACACACACACACACACACACACACACACACTCAAAGCTACCTCTGTTCTTCTCCACAGTGTAACTCGTCCCCACTTGAATATCATGCAACAAAAACATTTAGGTTTACTTCATTCTCTGTTCAGTTCCAGTCCAGAAAAACACTCATCACAAAAACCACAAACATTCACTATTCAAAGCCCTCAGTGATGGTGGACACTGGCACGCCACTTGTTTACTTCCTAAACCCCCACACTCAAAATGAATCTGTTGAAGACCTAGATGTTGTTCAAATGATGTATATCACCCACTGCCTGTTAGACACAGTTTTAGACAAACATCATTTTATGTTGAAGGGACTGTACTTATATAGAACCTTTCTATCTTATTTCAAGATACTCAAAGCTCTTTACAACAATCTGTGCCTCATGTACCCGTTCATACAGCTCTATACTAGATCTCTACAAAGATAATTGAACAAATCATTCTAAAGAGACTAATCAGTGATTTATCACATTCATACACTGATGGGACACACATCAGAGGCTATGAGGGGTTCAGTGTCTTGCCCAGGGACACTTCAGCATGTGACTTCTGGTGGATTCAAACCCCCAACTCTCACATTGGAGGACGACTGTTCTAACCATTCAGCCACAGCCTCCTTGAAAGGACAGTTTTAGGAGAAGATCATTTTATGTTGAAGGGACAGAGTTTTAGCCATTTTGAATCTTATTAAATGTGTAATGGTGTTATGTGACGTGTCATGAAACTTTGTGAGGATGTTGTGAGTTGTGTTGGTGCTCAGAGTACATGTTGTGTCTCCTTCTACAACAACTACATTTAGTTCAAGTTCTGTAAAACTGTCCAAGTTACAGACATGTTTATGTTTTAGGTTGTGATTGGCTTCAAATGTTAATTGGTTATTCATGTACATACAATCATTACTTTCTGATAATTCATCAAAACCCATTCACTGGTTCACGAGATATTTTGCTAACATTAGAGAAAAGTGATTGCACATATAGTCATGGTAAAAACAATAAAACAGTCACACAATCCAACAGTTTTCAGTCAGGTCATCTGGACAGTTTGTTTTTTTTTGTGCTGAAACGTTTCACCTTCGATCCAGAAGGTTTCATCAGTCAAGGAAACACAACAAAACTGATTCTTCCCCCAACAGCTTACTCTAAAGTGGAACAAACCAGTTCTGCTTGTGATAAGATGGTCTCTTTGGTACGCCCTTCCTCCATTGCCAGCCCTCTTCCTTGTTGACAGTCGTGTCAAACTGGTTGAAAACAATTATCTGGATCATTATCTGGATCGAAGGCGAAATGTTTCAGCACAAAAAAAGAAACTGTCCAGATGACCCGACTGAAAAATGTTGGATTGTAAACCTGGATTATTGAGCATGGACTTTGTTGTTAGTCACACAATGATTATATTTCAGAATCAGAATCAGTTTATTATCGCCATGTCAATGAACGAGGTTCACAAACTTGGAATTTGCTTCGACATAAGGTGCGAATAGTAATAAAGTAAAATAAAGTAAAAATAAAGTAAAGATGAAGTAAAAATGAGAACATTACATAAGACATAAGACCTGTGTACACCCACAAATAAAGTAAAATTAAAAACATAACATAACCATATGTACACCCATACAATAGAAAACAATAAAAAAGCTTAGAGAACAGTACAGATGGAGTATTCAGTTATAAAACAGATGTAATGTGACCAAAGCAGACATTATGAGGTAGCATTATGAGTGTTCAGGAGTCCAACAGCAGAGGGGAAGAAAGTGTTCTTACGGCGGGAGGTTCTGGTCCGAATGGACCGAAGCCTCCTGCCTGAGGGGAGTGGTTCAAACAGTCCGTGTGCAGGGTGAGCAGGGTCAGCTGTGATCCGACCTGCTCGCCTCACAGTCCTGGAGACGTACAGGTTGTGGAGGGATGGAAGGCTGCAGCCGATCACCTTCTCAGCTGAGCGCACAACGCGCTGCAGTCTGAGTCTGTCCCTGGCAGTGGCCCCGGCGTACCACACCGTGATGGAGGAGCTGAGGATGGACTCCATGATGGCCGTGTAGAACTGCACCATCAGCTTGGCCGGCAGCTTGGCCTTCTTCAGCTGTCGCAGGAAGTACAGTCTCTGCTGGGCCTTCTTGATGAGGGAGCTGATGGTCGGCTCCCACTTGAGGTCCTGGGTGATGGTGGTGCCGAGGAACGGATAAGAGTTTGCAGTGGTGATGGGGGTATCATTACAGGTGAGGGGGGGCAGAGGGGCTGTGGCTTTCCTGAAATCCACAATCATCTCCACTGTCTTCTGGGCATTGAGTTCCAGGTTGTTGCTGCTGCACCAGGTCACCAGCCGGTCCACCTCCCTCCTGTATGCAGACTCATCACCGTCCGAGATGAGCCCGATGAGGGTGGTGTCATCTGCAAACTTAATAAGTTTCACAGAGTCATGGCTGGAGGTGCAGCAGTTGGTGTACAGGGAGAAAAGCAGGGGGGAAAGCACACAGCCCTGTGGAGATCCTGTGCTTATAGTCCGAGTGTCCGAGACAGCTCTCCCCAGCTGCACGCACTGACTCCGGTCTGTCAGGAAGTCTGTGATCCACCTGCAGGTGGAGTCAGGTACATGGAGCAGGGAGAGCTTGTCTTGGAGCAGAGCAGGGAGGATGGTGTTAAATGCAGAGCTGAAGTCCACGAACAGGATCCTGGCGTAGGTTCCTGGGGAGTCCAGGTGCTGCAGGATGAAGTGAAGAGCCAGGTTTATTGAGTCATCTACAGACCTGTTGGCCCTGTAGACAAACTGCAGGGGGTCCAACCAGAACTCCAACAGTTCTTAGAAATGTCTGCAAACGTCACATTTGAAGCCAGCAGTGTCTCTAACTTGACTCTCCTGTCTGTTCTTCACAGATGTCCTGTGTCCAAACATGAAGGTTCAGCCCGATCGCTTCAAGCCCAACAGCACCAGTTCTGGTCTTGCAGAGGTTCCAGGTACGTGCACACTGCTGCTTCCTGTGCTGGCAGCATATACAAGCTCAACGTTGTTAGGCATTTCCTCCCACATTCAACTTTTCCTTTTATAAAAAGAGAACAATGCATTTCTCATGCAAAGAGTCAGAGTTTCTCTCGGCTGCTATCTGATTGAAAAGAAAATAGATTTTATTCATGAGTTAGAAGGTGCTTCTTTTAAAGAAAAGTCATTTTCACTCTTTTTGATACTGCTACATAAACCTCAATATCTCTGCAAAAACAAAACACTTTGTTCAATTGTATATACTTTTGAAAACAGATTTATGCATTTCGTGTTCTCAGCAGTTTTTTGTTTCTCTCAACATGAATATTTACTTTAATCTAAAAGGTTTACATTTGCACTCATCCTGTCATCTTGAAAGGTGACATTTACTGGACTGTGACTCGTTCAAGTCAATTCAGTTTATTTATAAAGCTCCAAGTCACAACAGAAGTCGTCTCAGGCACTGAACACAAACATTCATATATAAAATAATAATTGAACATTATTTATCTGAGGAGCAGCTTTGAGTTTAACTCATCACAGAACTCTCATACTGAGCGAGCATGAAGGCGACAGTGGAAAGAAAAACTCCCTCATGAGGAAGAAACCTTTAGCAGAACCAGGATCAGGACAAGAGGACCATCTGCTTCGACCGGCTGGGTTTGGTAGAAAAACGTTGGTGAGTGATATTTGTGAGGGAGACTCCAGAATGGTGACCAGAACAAGAGACAGGACCAGTAACAAGAACTTGAAGCGGCACAGACTCATAAAACACCTAGAGCGTGCACTGGTCACAAGAACCTGTGATTTACTGCAGCAACTGCTGCCATGAACAAAATGGTCAAATGTCTACACCTGGTGTTCTGACTAAATAGCCCTGAGTAATGGCTGACTATGTAAAAAATTATAATGTACATAAAAATGCCCAAAAGCTGTGTGTACCACAAAATGTAAGGACAGAAGAGAAAAGGGAAACGTCTCTGTTTACGTCAGCAGCTTTGATATTTCCCTCAGTGAGAATGTGATCTGACCAGAAATGAAGCTGATAATGTAGCCATTTAAAAGTGTCTTATAAAGCCGATATAATCACTGTTAATTATTGAACTGGCTTGTAGATGGTAGTGTCTGTGGCATATGTTGCTGTACAGACTGAATCATGCAACACTTTAGAACAAATTATTAAATAGTACAAGCTGCTATTGGCTCTGGTTCATTGTCTGCTTCTTGTACTTGTACTTCTTCAACTCAGCTATACGTTACGCGCTGATTACTGTAATTAACTTCAACCAACGAAGCCTACGTATACTGTACACAATCTACATGTTAAACAAGGTAGTTTCAAATTCATCAACCACATGAACTTGTAATTATTCAAACAACTAAAAACTCTTGAAATTGTTGGAAGTCAGTCTCAAACTATTGATTGACTTCAGACCATTAGTTAAACCCTAAATATTTTTCTTCAACAACATCCAGTTGTTTTACACGATTGTTGCATAAATTGACAATAGTTGTGAATTATATTGGGCGGCTCAGTTGGTAGAGCTGCGGCCTCTCAGCGAGGAGGTTGCCAGGTCCTGGCCTGAGGTCTTTCTGGTGGAGTTTGCATGTTCTCCCCGTGCATGCGTGTGTTTTCCCCGGGTGCTCCAGTTTCCTCCCACAGACCAGAAACATGCATGTTAGGCTGACTGGTGACTCTAAACTGTCTCTAGGTGAGAGTGTCCCTGTGATGGACTGGAGACCTGTCCAGGGTGTCCCCACCTCTCGTACAGAGACTCGTTAACGTCCTGGGTCGGCTCGCTCCTGCTCTGGACAGCCTCCAATGCGAGTCACTGTGTTTATGAAGTAGTCCACGATCACTTTTGGGTCAGTGTTAGTGAAATATGCCTCCATCCACATTATGTAACGACTAAATCCGTGAATGAAGCCATTAATTGCAATGCCACATGGCTTGAGTTTATCATAATAATCCATGTCCCACAGTGCGTTGGTCCGCCTGCTACTCTACTGCTGAGGCCAACATTCATCATTTTACTGCAGTTGTAAGACGACTTCTTGGTGTCGGAGTTCTGATAACATTAGGACTTTATTCTGGTAATATATGAGTTTATTCTCATATTGTTTCTACTTTATTCTCGTAATATTTCAGCATTATTCTCCTACGACTTTATTCTCGTCCGCAGTGTTTTTCTTTTCTTAGCGTGACCTAATATTCTGTCGTACTTAATATTTTCTGAGTTTCATGAGAAATTTTGCCAACACTGCAGATAAATGCATGCACATAAAATACATTTCTGTTGATTTAGTCTGTATTTCTATTTTAACATTACTACCCTGAAGCTGACTGACGTTTTTACTTCATGCAGTCAAAAGCCGTCAGGTTTTTCTCAGAAGTCTTGTATAGCATTTTACCGAAGAGGGCGGATATTATTACAGACTGTCTTCAGGGGGATCTAAGTTCCTGTCTGTCTCCAGCCCATGTCCATTACACTAAGAGAAAAAACAGATGCTCCACTTGTTCACGCTAACGTTGTGTCCAAGAAAACAGAACAAGGAGTCACTTTCACAAAAAACAATGATTTGGGTAGATTTCTTTTTGTGTGCAGATTGTACTGTTGTTTATATGAATACTGGTCTGAGCTGCGTTTGTCCAAGAACTGGACTTTTGTTTGACTTTGAAAACTAAGGTTGACTTCAGAGGATTCAAACTGGAAAACATTTGGAAGCATGAAAAACTTGTGTAAAAAACTGAACATCTGCATCTATTTCATACACCTAGCATGCTGCCTGTTCATAACCAGCACGAGGCTAAAAGTGAGGTGCCGCCAGAACTGGATGTTAAAAGGATAATCTGTTCATTTTTCAAGTGATGTCCTGTTTAATAATTATCAGTAGTTTTCCTTGTCAGCGGTGTAATCAGTCATAGAGCACAAAGTCTGGAGAAAAGAGCAGCAGACCTCCAGGCTAGGCTAATGGCTGGCCAGGTGAGGGCTTACTGTCATTGTTCAGACATATTGAACAACTTTTTCTGAAAAGCAACATGCCGGACTGAAAGGACTTTAAATTTGCTAATACTACACTAGATACTTGTGCACAACACCCTTTCTTTAGGTTCTTGCTGTTTTCTCGTCTGAACGTGGTTTGAGTGCTGAGCGTAGACCGTGCCGAGAGGCTGCTGAACAAGTGCATCTACTGGAGGTTGACGACATTCTTCGAGTGATTACATCATCACCCTGACTTGTGTAAACAGAATTAGAAGAGGAACACGATGTGACAGCAGTATATCTCGAGTCTCTTTCGTCTGAGGATCACTGCAGTGAGGAACCCTCAAGGCCTTCTATGCCTTTAGAGAAGGTCTAAGAATTCAGCGCACGAGATTATACGCTTCAAATTTTATTCAATTTTTATTTGATGTAAATTATATATTTTCAAAGTAGTTTTTTGTATTTGGGGCAGCTGTGGCTGAGTGGTTAGAGTAGTCGTCCTCCAATGCGAGAGTTGGGGGTTCGATTCCACCAGCATTCACATGCCGAAGTGTCCTTGGGCAAGACACTGAACCCCTCGTTGCCTCCGATGTGTCCCATCAGTGTCTGAACGTGATGAAGCTCCGATAAGTCTCTGTGCAGATCTAGTAAAGAGCTGTATGAATGTGTGAATGAGGACACAGACTGTGATGTAAAGAGCTTTGAGTGTCACCATCAAGACAGAAAGGAGCTATATAAATACAGTCCATTTATCATTTGAGGAAAATTATTTAAATTCATGAAAAATATGTTTATCCAATCAAATTATTTTAAATGTGTGTCTCCAGACCACAACGTACTTAAAGGAGCTGTCATTGGTTAGGACGTGCGTGTGAGGAGAGAAGGCACAGCTCAGTCAGAAGCTGTCCAGAATGAGTTTGTTCATTAACTGACAGGAAAATGAACGACTCACAGTGTGGACGTAGAGTGGGTGGGGCCAAAACACGGAGCTCTGAGCCTTCGAGCCGCCACGAAGGCAAGTTTTTTATTTTTTTTATTTTACCACACAAAGATTTGGGATGCATTCAATTGCTACCTGTAAAATAAATAAATAAATAACTCTCTGAAATCGTAGTTTGTCATAAAAAATGAAAGTTAAATGTCCCATTTAAGTTTACAGAGATACTTTTACATTACAGTTGTGTTTTGGTTTCATTGCACAATGATATTTTACAGAAACGGTAAGATCTGTGGGTTAGTGTTACATTTATACAATAAAAACATTTATTTAATAAAAAAAATAGAAAAATAATTTCCAGTTTCGAGAGTTTGAGGTTTGTGAAACTGAAGGGAGTGTCATGAGAGGGAGTGGTGGCACAGAGGTTAGAGAAGGTGGGCCTGTGATTGGAAGATCAACTCCCGGTACCGACAACATCAAAATGTGGGAGGGAAAGGTGAAGCACCGACACCACCCGCCACTCTCATTTCCCCACTCTGGGCCCTTGAGCAAGACCCTTGACCCCCACCATGTGCTCCCCCGGGCGCCCTACATGTCAGCTCTCTGCTCCACACAGAGGCTGCGGCAGCTCGGAGTCTGTGGTTGAGTCAGGAAGGACATCCAGAGTAAAAATAACTGCCAAGTCTTCGTGCGACTCGTTCACTGTGGTGACCCCTGAAGAAGGAGCAGCCGAAAGAAGAACAAAATTAAGTTGTTAATAATATAAATAATAATAAAACTAATAATGTAATAATATAATAATAATATAATGAAGTAAAGTGATGTAATTGAACTGCAAATACTTAGCATTTAAATGCATTTAGGTTGCTACATTGTCATCTTCTAAGTGAAGGCCTCCCTCTTTTAGTCATGGTCCACCACTGGAACATTGTTAATAAAATGCATAAATGATCAGTTTGGATGTTAAAAAACGGCACCAAGGATGAAGGAAGCAACAGAGAGGCGCATCTCCACAGAGGGAATGTGTTGCAGAGCAGCTTGACAAAAATCTGCCTGA